TGACTTTGAACCCTGATCCTCAGATCTCAGCCTTCAGAGTAGCTAGGATTACAGGTGTGAATCACTGGCATCTGGATTCCTTATTAAGTTTTTAAAAACTACATGTTTAATTAACTCTTTGAAAACATTCAATCTCAAAATGACATTTTTAAAGCTGTAAAGTAGTAATCCTTAGACAAACTGTCTGTAAATTGATATTCTCGTTTGGTTTTAAAGCAAGGAGAACAGGAGAATCACATGTGGACTGACATTGCATGAAGAGTCCAAACTTAACAAACTTGAAGGATCTCAGACCATCTCTTGATGTTTTCAAAATGCAGCGAATTACATCACTTTACATATCACTCTTGTAACTTTTATCAGGTAATATTTGAAGGAAAACAACTTTTAGGTACAAAAACTCGTACATTGGATTTTAGTGTGTAAAGAATTGAGCAACAATAATAAAACATGAATTGAGCAATAGCTGGGAGCTGGTGGCTCAAACTCATAATCCTAGCTACTCAGGAGGCTGAAATATGAGGATGGTTGAAAGCCAGCTTATGCAAAATATTCTGTGAGACTCATCTCCAATTAACCACTCAGAAAAACTGGGAATGGTGCTGTGGCTCAAGTGGTAAAGTGCCTGTCTTGAGCTGAAGAACAGAGGGACCGAGCCTAGGCTCAGATTTTAAGCACTGTGACCAACAAAAAAAGAATTGAGTAACATAAATTAGGTTTTACATTGAAGTAAATATCTAACCAAAGCCAGGAAAACTTAAATTAGGTGCTGTTTTTTTCTTTGTCCTTTAAAGGAAACCACAATGGGAAAAATATGTATGTAAATTAAATTGCACGTTATGCACATCATCGATCTGAAAGATGTCTATAGGAAAATAGAAAATCTGAACACACACTGCATGACTGTTTTATCAAAGTAATCCTGTGGGAACAAAAGAAGGCAAATATAAGTTTGGATGGGTTAGTATTGGCAAGAAGTTGCAAAATAGGAGAAGAAAAATAAGAAAACTGTAAAACACAAGCCAATATTCTTACTATTGGCTGTTCTCACAGCCAGTTACAGAATTTCTACCTCCTATCCCTTTGGCTGGTGGAAGCTACCAGTGTATTGCCAAGAGACTTGTGGATCGCAGTATCCCAGTCTAGTTGGTTCATGAGCCGTTCACCACCTGTTAGAGCAGGAGTGTGGTTTCTGCTTCTGGGAGCTTTCCTGATCCATCCCTACCAGGCCAACCAACCTAGGGCACAAGCCTCACCACGTGCATGAAGCTGTCCCCAGACATGACAAGCAGCGTGTCTGAGCTGCCCAGCTCCTGCGCATGGTTTGGCGCTTCTGGGGGAAGATGGGGCTCAGGGTCCTAGAAGGGGAAGGATACTCTCAGCATGCCCTGGGGTATGGGGCAGTGAGCATCATAGGAAGGAGACCTGGGCCTGGAGCATGAGGGAACTGCATGTGGTTCTGGATTACCGCAAGGCCTTGCCCGTGTCTGTGTGCAGATTCAGCAACAACAACAAGAGACAGATCCTGAGCAGCAGGCCCAGGGGCAAGAGTGGTTTCCATAGTCTATTCCTGCTTTCGGCCCCCTCTCTGGATTGAGGTGTCTCACCTGCCACGCGCAGGCTTCTCTTTTCTTTTGTTCTCCTGCTCTCACAGTTTGGGATGATTTTCATTTAATGATTGTGTGGCTTTAATATATTGGCTATTCTGTCTGTCTGTCTGTCGGTCTGTCTGTCTTCACCCTTTCTTTTCTCCGTGTTTCTCTTGAGCCTTTGTCATCATTGGCACTACTCACTGTGGCACCCACAGAGCCTCGTGAGAAATGACACCACTTGGTTTTTCTTTAAAAAATTTAAATACAGGATTGACGTTTATTGGAGTTGGGTGGCAAAAATAAAGGGAATTAAATATGAATTTTGTTTTCAATATGAAACTCTCTCCCTCTCTCTCTCTCTCTCTCTCTCTCTCTCTCTCTCTCTCTGTGTTTGTGTGTGTGTGTGTGTGTGTGTGTGTGTGTGTGTCTATCAGCCTTGGAAGTCAGAGCCGCAAACTCCCTCTCTTGGCTTTGTAATACATATGTGGAATTTCAGCATTTGATAAATACCTCCTGTCCCATATTTGTACTTCTAAGTTAGAGATGGAGTCTCATATACTTTTCTCTCCAGGCTAATTTTGAACTGTAATCCTCAGATCCAAACCTTTTAAGAGAGCCACTGGTGTCTGGCTCACATAAAATTACGTGTCTAATATCGAAATTCAAAATGAATTTAATAACAGATTTCCGCAAGAATGTGAAAATTTAATACACATTACCTAAGGGTTTTAGTCCATATTTTAAGAGTAACACTTTTTCTTTTTTGAGATTATGTAATTACATAAATTTCACACTATTGTGGCATAATGATACTTAGCTAAAGTCACTAACATATTTTAACCTTCACAATGCATCTTGTCATCGTCTTGATCTACAAAGCTTATGAACTCTACAGACTTTAACAATAAAACTGTTTCTTCCAAATTGGGTGATATGTACGTTTCTTTCCTTTTGTTCAGTATTAGCTGTTTCCTCTTTCTCTCTCATACCCTCCCTCCCATCATCAAGTTGCTTAGTTCACTTTCATCAATAACCAGTGCCACTGATGGGCCCTCTGCTATATTTTTTTCACCCATTTTCCTCCACTTCTTTGCCCTTCTCCTGGCTTCCCTCAAATGTGCATGCCTATGCAGCAGATATGGGGTAAAGAACACAGAGTGATTTAGAAATTATATGAAAAGTAAGAAGAGGTCCTTTATTTCTTGGGTCTTGTTTACTTTGTCATATCTCAATGTAAAACAGGTTTATGACCTGTAATTTAGTCCAATCAAATGGAGATTGAACATCCCTGGATCTTAATAAAATAAGCAGAAAATGAAGCATTGGAAGAAAGGACACACTACCTTTTACCAACATAGCTAACAAGATCTCTTCCAAAAATCGAGTGTGGCTATTTGTCTCTTTTCTCTTCTTCCATTTCTGTTTGGAAGTCCTTAGTGATTTGGTCTACTAAGATACACAAGTTGGCTACTTGTGAGCTCTAGAGATTGATTTTCCTAAGGTTAATGATGAGTCCATCGTTTCCCACCTTCACTTGAGCATCTCCTGGACAGCTGTGGTCCTCTGGAAATGAGGCTGGCACTAGACCGTTCCTGGTCTGTCAGTCCTGAGCATGGAGGCTGTGCTTTCCCTATGCACCAGGCTTGAAGAGATCCTTGGTTCTTTACCCCTTGGTTGTGTCTAAAGGCAGAAGCATCTCTACCTAGTAAGTACTGATGTGTTTGATACATGAAGAGTCTTGGAAATACCACCTCTTAATCATAAATATCAACATAATTGTTTTGAGTAGCCAGATGGTAGGACAGCGCAGTAAAAATTATTTCACCACTTGTGTGAATGCTTCAGTTCCCTATGCTTTTTACATTCTTATAATTGTGTTCTGTTACCAGAATAGGTAACCAAATTTTTTTTTCTTTCTACCTATACAGTACTGGCTCTGATCTTGTTAAAGTCTTCCACAAACTACAATACCTGTATTATTCTAAACTCTTTCTGAGTACTGCAGAGGGACTATCACAATCATATTGAAGGTCTGGACCTCAGTTATCAAAACAGCATCAACGGCAGGGTGCTGGTGCCTCATGCCTGCAATCCTAGCTAATAAGGATGCTGAGATTAGAGGATTGCAGTTCAAAGCCATCCCAGGCAGGGAATTCCAAGAAACTCTTTTCTTTAATGGACCACTGAAAAGCAGAAATGGCAATCATTAAATGAGCACCTATACAGAACAGTGAGCATTCTCTTCTTTCAGTCATTGTAAGTTTGATAATCTGTTTGGCTTCCAAACATTTCTGTCTCTGTGCAGATGCTTTTCTTTTTTCCATCCATGGCCCAGCAGAATTAGAGACAGCACTATGTGGATGTCTGTCATGCATGTGTGGGTGACATCACTCCACTGAGCCACAGCTACAGCCTTGAATAACATCAAGATGTCTGGACTCAGAAACATGTGCTTGTTTGTCCATTGAACTCCTCCTGGCTGTACAATGTGATGGTAGCCTGACAATATTCCTCCTTCAAACTCCTCAACACTTTGATTTCTTAGGGACTCTTCTGAATCATTCTTGCTCCCATAGAATTGTAAAGATCATTGAGAGTTTTGAAGTCTGAGCCTATCTGATATTTTTGTCCTCTCTTGGGGATCTTTTTCTTTTCTTATATACGATTCCATTTCTCCATCCATTAATATTGAGGATTCTTAGGGACTGGGATGACAAGGCTCTGCTTGGCCAATTGTGTACTCTGTATTTTTGGATTTCAATAAGAAATAATGACCAATAAGCAATCTATTGCTGCAGCTGCTCATCTGGACAACTGCAGTTATTTTGGTGCACTCGCATTTCTTCCCTAAAAAATACATTCATAGATTTCTATTGGAAACTGCAACAGATTAACATTCTGCTCTCAAATTCTTAAAGAACGAGAGAGAGAATGAGAGATTTTCCAGTAAAATACACCCAGTTATATAGCAAAATAGAAAATATGTGAACAGAAATATTCAGCTAGGTCAAAGAATGGAATTGAGTTACCATAATGAAAGCATAGAAATGTTCAACAACGTAACTTCCTATACTAGTAGCTTAGCAATATAGTGATATTGAAGCAGTGATGTAGGATAGGTAGGAAGAATAATTGAGACAGGAAAGAGAAAGGAAAAAGCACAGTAGATGATATACTCGTTAGGAAGTATGATAGTATAAAGGACAGATTACACTGGAGGAATCATAAAGTATCCAAGTTAGAATGCAAATTTTGGAGGTCTTGTTGGGAATGTGCTTTGTCTCTAACCTAACCAGAGAAATGAATAAGAGTAACTTGTTTGTTCAAAGAAGTCTTCACATTAAACTAAGATGTGATACAGATTGCTCTCAGAGCCTCTAAACATTCTAGGCAACATCTATATTTATCTTAACGTTTGTTTCTTCCAGAACATGATCTCTCCCTGAACCTGGACAAAGAATTTCTCTCAGGTCTTATCAGGATGATGTAGCACTTGGGGGCAAAGATGCAGCCTAGGAGACCTGCACTGGAGGCTAAAATGGAGAAGACCTCCACGGCCACCATGGCCTTCCCCTTGGTGCTGTGGTAGACAGGCAGGAAGGTGAGCCACACACTGCAGAACACCAGCATGCTGAAGGTCAGGAACTTGGCCTCATTGAAGGTGTCAGGCAAGTTTCTGGCCATAAAAGCCACAGTGAAGCTGGCCAAGGCCAGAGAGCCAAGGTATCCCAGGACACAGTAGAAGGCAGTGAGAGAGCCCGTGTTGCACAGGATGATGATGAATCCATGTTCTGATTGTGCATCTTTGTCCACGAAGGGAGGAGAGATTCGCAGCCAGAGGCCACAGAGGGTCACCTGGATGAGAGTGCAGGTGGGGATGAGGAGGTTAGGAACCCAGAACAGCAACCTCTGCCTCGTGCTTCTCCCTGGAGCAGTGAGCGTGAAGGCCAGAACCACAGTGATGGTCTTGGCCAGGACCGTGGAGACAGCCACAGTGAAGACCACTGCGAATGTGGTGTGCTGCAGGATGCAGGAGGCTGTGTGGGGACGGCCAAGGAAGAGTAAGGTGCAGAGGAAGCAGCAGATGAGGGAGATGAGCAGGATGTAGCTGAGGGCCCAGTTATTGGCCTTGACAATGGGGGTGTCTTGGTGCTTGATAAACACCCCAAGAACTGCAGCTGTGAGTGCAGAACAGCAAAGAGCTGTGCAAGCCAGGGCCATACCCAAGGGGTCTTCATAACCCAGGAAGCCCTCAGTTTTTCTCAGGCAGTGATTTCTCTGGATGTTGGCAAACTGATGACCTGCACATCTGACACACTGTTCCATATCTGGTGAGGTGTGAGAATCACTATTAGTTTGTGGTCAGTATTTGTCTTTCCTCTCAACCCCCTTAATTCAAGTAGCTAGCTCATTTTCCCTGATTCACCAGTTGACCTGTATTGAGTTCAGTACCAATAGAGTAACTCTCTATATCAAAATGCTTTCACATCAAATCCCTTTCTCACATTTCTTCTTCTTTCCCTCCTCCCTTTCGGTTTTTATATTTTTCTTTTCTTTCTTTCTTTCTTTTGCTCCTTCATTCCTTCCTTCCTTCCTTTCCTCTTCCTCCGTCCCTCCGTCCCTCCCTCCCTTTTTCCCGTCTTCCTTCTCTAGTCCCTACCTTCTTCCATCTGTCTGTCTTTTCCTCCACTGCTTGAACTCAGGCCATGGGACATTTTCCAGATTATTCATGCTGAAAACTACCACTCTACCACTTGATCTACAGCTCCAATTACAGCTTTTTGGGTGCTTAATGGTGAGAAAGAATCTTACTGAGTTTCCTGTAAATCATTATATCGAAGCTTCCTCCTCAAATCTCAACTGCCTAAATCGCTTGGATTACAGATGTAATATATAATTATCAGCATAATGTGCTGCATTCTTGACAGGTCATACCACTCTGGCTCTCTGCTACTCATTCAAGACACAATGGAGAATAGAGAATCAGCCCAACCACTTCACTTTGTACAAGAAGGGTCTAATCCAAACCTCAATCTCCTCATTACACCAAACACAAACTTCTTGAGCATTTGATCTGTGTCAAGAACAGTGCTCCTCCACTGATATGATAAGGTCTGGTAAAGATCAGCTGGAGGAGGGAGAAGAGAAATGAAATGGAGATGATAAACTACTTCTGAATCTTTTATATTTGAAGAATTGCTAGTCAGTCTAGTGCCAGTGTGAGACATGGAGTGATCATAACAAAGCCCGTTGTATTATTAGTGCATGCTAAATAGAAAATAAAATTTAATTAGAAATGAGCAGCAACAGGCACTCAGAAATGAAAGGCTGTGTTAGGTCCACAATTGTATAATGATTTGCTTATCATTTCAAAGATCAACAACTGCTCCTTGATATTTACTTTTTTTCAGTGTTTAGCTCTTATTTTCTCCATTTCTCCATTTTTTATTAAATATGTTTTTATTGCAAAGATACTGTAGAAAGTGGTTACAGTTACATGATTAAGGTAATGAGTACTTTTCCTATCGAGCATTGTTCCCCCTTTTTTTTTGTTTTTTATTGTAAAAATACTGTACAGAGTAGTTACAGTTACATGAGTAAGGTAAAGTGTACATTTCCTATCTAGCATTGTTGCCTCCTCCTTTGTTTTTGCCTTACCATTCCTTCCTTGTCCACCTCCCCAAGTACTCCCCCGACAATGCCAAAGTTGTAAAGTTCTTTTTCAATATAGTGTCTTGTATGTCTCCTGGTTAAAATGGGTCAACCTGTATCCCTATTTAAGCAGTTTGTTTTTTCCTTGCCTTTCCCAAATTAGGAAAATGTATATACAAGATAACAGAGGTTATACCATGGGGATGGAACATACCAAAGAGACAAAAAAAAATCACATGGTCATTGTAAATACATTAAAAAAGAAAGAAAAAACCACTTGCGTTCCTATCTTGGCGTTCATTTCGCTTACATCAACTTATATGGTCATAAGTACATAGCTTTTGACCTAATGGAAACCATGGGTATACATTTTATTTAAATATAAAAAATGCGATTGAGGAGAGGGGAACATGGGTATTCTCAAGATGAAGCTTTTAATAGATTAGAAAATACAATCAGAGATGTAATGGAGGGGCAGTGAGTGTTTCTTCTAATGGAAGTATGGTTAACGGTAGCCCTGGAACTCTGCGTGAAGGTGCATGTGTGTTCTTGCCATGTTACTGTAGCTCACTCCACTGGATTGCATGGACTAGGAAGCAGAGATGGGGAATTTCTCTAACTAACAGACTCACCTGTCACATTAGAAATCTCATTCTCTGGGCAAGGAGTGCAATCAAAGCAACAGGTAGCATTTCCCTCCAGAAAGACCTTCCTGAATCCAGGACCACAGCTCTCACTGCACACAGACCGAGGAGTCTGAGAATATTCAGATGAAAGTTAGTGACCATTTTTTCTTTTACCTGACATCTGAGATACTCCAGTGATTTAGGGGAAATGATCATCAAAACATAATATTTATATGCATACAACAAATGAATTTACTGAACCTTCTTACAGTTTCATCTGACATGAGCTGAAGAATATGTGGGGCCTCAACACCCAGCACTCATACTATCTGGAAGTCATGGAGCCTTGAAGTGATGGATGTTAATTCTAGGAAATTAGGAAATGGGAGTTAATCCTGCAGCCTATTGTTGAATTCAGACGATCTGTTTACAGATGAATAAGAGCATGAGAGGAAAATCACTCAGGGAAATTTCAAACCCACAATCTAAAACATGGCTAATTGCTTTGGAGGTGCTTCTGTATCCAGGGACATTCACATCTCTCTTGGCTTCCTAACTGTCATGAAGTGGGTGAATTTTTCTGGCAGATGCTCCTTTCACTACATCCTGTCTCACTAGACTAAGAAGCAACTATCTATCCAACCGTGGTCTGAAATCTCCAGGCAGAAGCAAAGCAAGACCTTCTGCCTTCTCATTTGATTCCCTCAGATATTTTGTCACAGTGCTGGAATGATGATTCATAGGTGTCATTTAACTTTTATGGTATTCACGTTGCAAACATTGAACAATAGAACAACATATTGGTCATGATATGTTCCCCTGTTCCGCCCATGAATCTGTTAGTAAGAAACTTCCAGAAACAGAAAGTTGTGAAATGTACACCACTGAGCCATAGTTTTATTGAACAAACTTTAAAACAGTATAAGCTTATTGCTCATTTATACATAGATCATGCCATTATGGTTAGAAAAGACTGACCCTGGGGGAGAAATAAGGATGTGGTGACATTGTCTACAAGCATTGTGATCATAACCTGGTATAGGGAATTGTAAGCTCTTTCTACAACTACTTCCTAATAACAATACATTTTTTTAAAGGAGAGAGTAACAAAAGTAGAAATGACCCACCTTGGTAATTCCTATGGGCCACTCTATCAGATTTTCAAACAAAATCAGTTGTTGACCATGTGGCCTAGATGGAGAAAACTTGCCAACTTTCACCTTTTGTCCCAGACCTTCTGGAAAATTCCAAAAGCTCTTAATGTCATACTCTGCCTCCAATTTCCTTTCCTCATTCAAAACCACTTGGTCTCCAACAGGATTGGTAAATTGGATATTCTTCAAAAAGGGATGCAGCTAAAAGGGACACATTACAGTATGGTGAAGTGCTTCCCAGTGTTATCACAGAACCCCAGAACAATGGATTACTCTTCATTCCCATCCCCTGATTCACACATACCACAGGAATCCAACCAACTATATCAAATGCAGACCCACAGCAGAATAAAGTGTTACCAAGTTCTAAAACCTGGGTATCCAGGATGGGATGCAGAAACTCAATTTCAAGAGAATGAAACTGCAGCCCCATATCCAACCAAATAATGAATTATCACATGATAGACGTCAACAGACTCTCTAAATTGCATGCCAATCCCTTATTTTGTGATTCTGAACAGAGAATCAGTCTGAAATATGGGTAAATAATAAAATAAGTAGAATCATTGAATATTTTCGACAACTATGAAAGATTACCTTAAGCAAGACTTAGTTCAGTGTGTGTGTGTGTGTGTGTGTGTGTGTGTGTGTGTGTGTGTGTGTGTGTGTGTGTGTGTGTGTGTGTGTCTGTGTCTGTGTCTGTGTCTGTGTGTGTATGCCTTCCCTGTGGTGCGACCTCACAGCTTAGGCACTCCACTATTTTTCTTCTGTTCTTTTCAAAGTAATCATTCTGTCCATTGAGCCACAGCTCCCCCTCTGTCATTTTGGTGGTTAATTGTAGTCATGATTGAGCCACAGGTGTGAGCCACTCGTGTCTAGGTAATATTAGGTTTCCAAGAACTAGTCACCCTCAGAGAAGATCTTCACTAGCCATACAACGGACAAGGATCTCATATCTAAAATATACTTGGAACTCAAAAAATTCAATTCCCCAACAACAAATCCTCAAAGAAACAACTGCCCAATAAATAAGTGGGCTAAAGACTTAAAGAGAAGCTTCTCTGAAGAGGAAAGAAGGATTGCCAATCGACACATGAAGAAATGCTCAACCTCCTTATCCCTAAAAGAAATGCAAATGAAAACAACATTGAGATACCACCTCACTCCAATTAAAATGGCTAAAATCAAGAACTCTAATAGCAACAAATGTTGGCGATGTGGACAGAAGGGAACCTTACTGTATTGTTGGTGGGAGTGTAAACATGTTCAACTGCACATAGAGTTCCCTATGACCCAGCAATCCCACTTTTGGGCATTAAACCAAATGTTTACAAACAAGACCACAATAAACTAGTAGCATGACTATGTTTATTGCAGCATTATTTAATATAGCTAAGAAGTGGAAACAACTCAGATGCCTCTCAGTAGAAGAATGGATCAAAAAAAGTGGTTTATATACAAAATGGAACTCTATGCCTCCATCAGAAAGAATGACATTGCCCAATTTGTTAGGAAATGGAAAGGCTTGGAAAAAATTTTGTTAAGTGAAGTAAGCCAGGCTGAAAGAAACATAGGTCCCATGGTTTCCCTTATTAGCAATATCTAGTGTATGTCTGAGTCAAGCAGGAAAGGTCAGATAAGGTGATGTTCGGGAAATGAACCCTAAGGTATGTATTCAAATGTTTTATCTTTAATGTGATTATTTCTAACACATATATAAGATTATTTTCTTGTTGTTTTGTATGTCCCTCCCCAAAAGTATAACCCCTGCTTTCACTGTATTTGATGTCGGTATAATTTGTGGAGGGGAAGGGGAAAAACAATCGTTTAAATAGGGATACAGGTGGACCCATTGCAACAATGAGATGTACAAATCTTTATGTCGAAAACGAACTTCACAGCTTTGGTTTGGAGGGGGTGGAGGGAGGATAGGATAGGAAGGATGGGGGAGGGTGGCCGATGGGAAGGGATGGGAAGGAGAAACAAAGTAGGAGACTACAATTCTTGGTAAGAAATGTATTCATTATCTTGCCCATGTTATTGTAACCCCTCTGTACAGTATTTTCACAATAATAAAAGAACTAGTCACCCTTAATCTGTTATTTTAAAAAGGCACAAGGAGAATTTGAATATATTCCATTGAAAAGGGGACAGCTTTTTCCAAACATAGTGAGGATGGGGACAGAAGACACAGCACTACCTTGTCATGGATGCAGCATTCTTCAAGAACATTGTCTTCACAGCTCTACCATCATTTCATGGAGAGCACAACAGACTTTCTTATATTTGCCAAAATGGTGCCAGATAACCTACTTGCATCTGCTATGAAAGCTTATATAGAAGTTCTGCATGCCTAGAGTAGGTCACCCAAAAGCAAAGCCATTACCTGTGAAGAGAGAAATGCCCTGGGTTGTCCATTGTGCACTATTGGCTCTTCCATGTAATGAAGAAACATCTGGTGGAGGGCATGGGCCACAGCATACACAGCATTGTAGATGTTGTAACTCTCATCTGACATGGTCATGTCAAAAATGTGCTTCAGCAACCAATGCAGTGTGGCATTGTATGAACAGCGCCCCAAGTCTCTGCAGTCAGACTTAATCAGTAGGCTATAAACAGACTGAATCCATGACCTGGGAAGGGAGTTATTTGCTGAGTTCTTGGAGAAGGCCTCTGTCAGAATAAAATTGGTGAACCCAGCAGTGTTTCTATGATGGTGAGAGAAGATAAGAGGTGCATGGAAAGAGTCAATCAGAAAATGTCTTTTAGCAATAGTCACATCATCATAGGGTGAGTTCATGACCCAGACTTTGCCTGTAATTAAAAAGTGCCTAAATTTAAGAATGAAGCCTAGTAGAAATTTACTGTCCGCATAAATGATAATCACATTGGTTGATAAGTCCATTAGCTGGCGCTGCATCGATAGATCATTTGAGAAATCTGATAAGACACTGTAAGTGATCATGTTCTCAAAGGCAAAGCAGACTCTACTCTTGCCCATCTCTTCCCTCAATTCTGAGAGGAACCACATTCCATAGTTTTCTTCGGTGATCAATAGTCCCACCCAGTTCCAGCTGAAATGAAGCATCAAAGAGACCATGGCCAGGGCTAGACCTGAGTCCTTGGCAGCCATCTGATAGACAGTCCCAAACTTTCCATGGTCACTCAGGAGAGGATCAAAAGTCTCAAAGGTGAACTACAGGGAACAAATGGAAACAACATCAGGAAGGGGATGGTCATAGGCAAATCTCAGTCCTGATGTGAACAACACAGCAAGTGGTAGCACAGTGGTGGGAACAAAAGTTTGCTTTTCCCATTTGCAAAGTCATCTCCCATGTTCAGAACTCTTTGTAGACAGGTACAGATAAGGCTCAGAGTTGTGGGTCATCCTTTACTCTCTGAAAACCCTTTCTTTTATTTGCAGCATTGAAAATGTGTATGACCCACCTACTTTTGGAGGCTTTTCCCTGTGTGATTATACATTTGGAAGGGTTTGTGATACCACCTCCTCTTCAGCCTGTTGAGGACAGAGTCATTGTGGATATGGCTTCACATCTGCCCACCCCTCCCAGCCTTACCTGTGGAAGTTTGTAGAGGTCCAACAGTGTCCCTATTGGGAAGAATGTGTTTGAGGTACCTGTGAGTGCCGCAATAGCTTTGCTGTCTCTTCTGCAGGTGTAATTAGGGATGTTTTTATTCTTCCCAGACAGCCAGGTGAGTGGATCCTCTAACAGATCAGTACCTGAGTAATGTACAGTATATATCTCAAACCCCAGAGTCATGTTGAGTAGCAGATGGGGATTCTTGTTGATCTCCTCCACAGCCAGCAGCAGGGTGAGAAGCAATTGGTATTTCTTTAAGTTGATCCTGCACAGAAATCACAAAACTTGGGTAGGTATACAAGTATTACAAATGATTAACTGCAAATCTCATGACTTTGTTGAATCAAATGTCGATTTCTACACACAGTAATATGTATAGATCCAACGGGATGGCATTCTAATTTGAGTCTAAGAAAAGTTCTTAGAATTCGGAGAGTTCCTGAACAGGCTTTGATCAGCATACATGAGATGACTATTCTTCTGAAATTGCAGAGAGAGAGAGGGTGGGGGGAGTGAGCAAGCTGGCTTTTCTCTCGGCACTGTATGGATATGTGAAAAACACTGCTGTCTGCTGTGACATAGGAGCAGGCCCAGCTCACATCCCAAATCATTTAGTACCTTAAATTAGCTGTGCATATGGAAAATCTCTTGAGAAACACAATTCCAATTGGGAGTAGATTGTCCACCTGAGTTCAACCAGTATGAGCAGAGAGGCAGGGCCTTCTGTGTTAGGAGTAAATAGGAAAGCAAGCTCCTTTGTGTCTGTGCTCGCTTGCCACACATTTGCCAATGGTGCATCCTTCTGCAATGAAGTGAACCTTGCCTTGTGAGGAAAGTAAAGAAATCACAGAAGTACAAAATCCATTTGATGTGGTGGAGGCACACTAAGCTGACTGAGAGAATGTCATCATTCAAGGGGATTCCCCAGAAGCAGAGCAAGATGGCAGTCCAGAAAGCTAGAACATAAAGATTGCCTCACCCAACAAAGAACAGATGACAGTCACAGAGTGTGGACTGGAGGATACTTCTCTAGTCAAACAAACAACAGAAAAGGATGTGTGAGAAAATGGGGAAGAAGCCATCTCCATGTTTCTCTCCATTACCAGCATTAGTTGCTCATTATGGGCAGAAACCCTATGACATTGCAGGGAGGGAGAGAATTAAAGTTAAATCTCAGCACCATCCCCATACACGGAGACCAGTGTTGAGGAAGTACTTATAGTTCCTAATTTAGTTCCAGACTATAAATTGTGCCTCTGGAACTGGTTTAGGACAGAGAAGGAAGACACTGCCACAACCTCCCTCCTCCAATCTTGTGAACTACAGCAGGTATGGGATACAACCTTCTAGTGAGCAGGTCAGAAGATTGGGTCAGAGTTTTTCTTAGAACCCTTTATCAGGCATGTCATGATTGGACCAATAATCCAGAATAACCTAGAGACACTGTTTGGTGCTAGCACCACAGCTTCCATTAGAATCTTTCAGGAGATGTTGGAAGGTCGCTGAGGCAGAACCAAATGCCATTTCCATCAGATTCCACCATGGGTGGAGTAGGCTGACACCTGTCTTCTTGCTTAGCCTTGTGAAGCCACTGTGGCTATGTGACTGTTGTCATCTGGCTCGGTCCAGTCTCGTTGCACAGTGAATAATTTCAAGGACCACTGCCCTAGAAGGACAGTGCTCATGATGGCACCAGGCAGAAACTGAAGTCTCTCTAGGAATCCAGTGTGCATTGGTCTACAGCAGCATAAGCTAGAGTGTGGCTTTAGTTTATCCACATGACAGTTTAGGCTTTGGGGATGCTAGATAGACTGAGCAGATGGTGCTTTTCACCAAGATGGTCCTCTGGCTTTTTTTTTTTTTTGGTTGCTTGTGGGGCTTGAACTCTAGGCCTGGGATCGGACTTCAGCTTAAGACTAGCTCTCTAGCACTTGAGGCACAGAGCCACTTCTGGCTTTCTTTTGTTTTACTGGAGATAAAAGTCTCACAGACTTTTCTGCCTGGGCTGGCATTGAACCCCGGTCCTCAGATCTCAGCCTCCTAAGTAGCTAGAATTCTAGGCGTCAGCTACCCATGCCCAGCTTGTGGCTTCCTTTACAAACCTTACCATGCTGCTGTAGCATTGCATGGTTTTCCATCCCAATTATAATAGGTAAGACAGGGATGTAAGATGGTGATATTGTCTCACAGCTTAGTGTGGGCTAGGTAATAGCACTAGAACTGTGCCATGACCATATAGCCAGGACAGCCTCTGGCAGACTCTGTAATCAACTCAATACCTGAGAAAGTCATCTACAACCAGACAATCTGAATTCTATATTAGCTATCACTAATCATGTATGGTTGTGGGCATCTTGGCTCATGAGCACACCTCTACCACATTCAACCTGAGTCAATCTTAGTACTCACACTGCACTGTGTGGGTCTTGATCATAGTAGACTGAGTATGCTGTACTCAGTCAGGATAGACTAAGGAAAATGAGGCCTGGTTTAATGCATTCCAGGAATTCAAAAACTCAAGCTTAAAGCTTGTCCATCTACTTCCTTTAAGATTAAGGGAATGAAGTCATTTAGGGGAAATTGGAGTAGAATAGATTAGTAAAAAATGAGGTATGGGAAGCTCACAGCAAACAGAGAGCTATTCATCCATTTATATAACTTAAGATTAAGGGACCAAAGTCATTGAGCACAAAAAGAAGCTGGATAAATTATGGGAAAAAAATGAGTCCTAGAGAAGGCAACTCAGAAACATGTGATTTAGAAACACAGGGCTAGTATCTTTACTTCAAAGAGAGGAAACAGGTTGCATTGCTTCCTGAGAGATGCATTTCTCATCATATGAATTAACAGTTTAGGGGAGCCCAAAAGGCTCCCCTAAAACGTATGCAACATTCTACGCCAAATGTAGACAACAGCACACCTTCCTGCCCTCAAGGATAATCATCTGGAAAGAATGGCCAAAACATACAGAAACTCAGAAAGTGTTAACACCAGGATTGATTAGTGCAAAGATGACAGACCTATGTTTGTGTATCTTTGAAGTCAGACCTCCTGCCTTTACCATCTGAATACCCCTGGCAGCCCAAGAGCTGTGTGTCTCTCCTCAGTTAGAGTGTGTCTTTGACTTTCTGTTTCCTGTTTGTCTACCTGCTTGTTTGTTTGCTTCCTTACTCAGGAAAGCTCTGCCACATTTTCTTACTGTTGTGACTTGACTAGAATTTCTTCTTCTGCAGTCAGAGTCCAGGATCCCAAGTGAAGAGTCCCTACTTTTAGAGGGGAACTTCATTAACCTTCATCTGTTTTGGTGACCCTGCTGTTTGATATTCCAGGTGTAATAGAGTTCTGGTGGCCACAGCTGTGTCTAACGCCTATTCCGGCACACAGATCTTGCTATTGCTAGGCAGAATCCACGTACACGGCCATTCCCTGTGGATGAGGCATATAGGACCCCTGTGCACCCAGGAGAACGTATATTTGGACCCGTGACTCATTGGGGTTCTTGTGAGGATTTTAGAACCACAGAGTGTTTGTCACCAAAATTGCTTTTGGTTTTCTCTGATACTGAAGTGGTTTATTGCCTCACAGCTGACTTCTCACAGTCCCTGCGCGCCCTCTAGTGGTAAGATTGTGGAAGTCACTAAAGACCCTGGAACACTGAAGCCTGTCTGGAATTTCTGGAAAGACAGGCACAAAGCCAGACCAGTCAGACTGGTATAATTCAGAGACATTTCAAAAGCCAGATGGTATCACATGCCAATATGAATTAAGAATGTTTCAGAACGATGAGTTCTCCTAGCATTCAATATAATCATTTTAGGGAAATTCTCATAGAGAGAATCTCAACTCTCATGGATGTTTGTTGATGTCATTGTGTGCAATGTAATTGAGGCTTGACATCTAGAATGTCAGTAATACTAAATATGAATTGGGAACTGGTGGCTCAGGCCTGCAATTATAACTACTAAGGAGGATGATATATGAGAATTATGTTTTGTAGTCACTTTGGGCAGGAATGTCTGTGACACATTTTATGTGCAAGCAACTCCACAGAAACTGTTACAAAGTTGTAGGACAAGTGGTAGAGTGCCAGCCATGACAGAAAAAAACGCCAAGGGACAGCCATCAGGACTTGAGATGATGCCTGAGTACCAGACTGTGTGTGAACATGCACACACACACACACACACACACATACACACACACACACACACACACACACACACACAGCTCAATTAGAGAATGGACAGAGAAGAGGATAGCTCTGACATCTCCCACCTCCCATGGGGATACGTTTCTAATGCTGGGTTTACACATGAGCCCCATCTTTCTCACTCAATTCCTCACCACATTAATTTTTCTTCAGTATTTCTCATAAATCTCTCATGGAATAAAGTATTCCTCTAATGAACAAACCCCATACAGGGTGTTTCCACACAACTTGCCTGAAAAGATTCATTCATGACTTCCCTAGTTTACAGAGAATTCTGTAGATCTGAAAGTATTGAGCTCACGTGGGTCAAATGCATGAATGAAAGTGTGTATAAAACATATGAAAAAGCTAGGCACATTTGCTCACAAATGTTATCCTATCTACTCAGGAGGCTGAGATCTGAGGTTCAGGATTCAAAGCCAGTGAGGGCAGAAGAGGCCATGAAATTCTTATCACCAATAAACCACTAGAAAATTGGAAATGGCACTGTGGCGCCAGCAATCCAGCACTTGTCTTAAGCTGAATAGCACAGGGACAACATCCAAGCCCAGAGCTCAAGACCCATTAATGACAATATATATGAAAAAAAAAACATTCAAATCTAGTTTAGGAAGTTACGAGCAGGGAAAAATAAATAAGCCTGAAAACATGTTGGAGCACAAGGAATGGAAACAGAGTTTCTGGGAATGACATAGGAGACAGGCCAAGACATGGATAGCAGGACAGAAGCTTACTTACATTAGTTAAGGGGAAAAAATCAAATGTGTCATGCATCTCTAATTACTGAGCTGTCCAGCAGCTCCCCATTCCCACAGCTTTGCTGACATGAAATAACCCCAGAAGCAGAAAGTACATGTCTACCCTAAGAAACATTGCCCTGAAGAAGGTGCAAACATTGGTCCTGTTTTGAAAAGTATGAAGAACAGAATGGATTGAAGATTCCCTGGCCTTTGTCCTATGGATGGGGACATTGCACTTTAGTGCCTTTGCATGGACACTTGGTCACCCTAGTGACCCTGAGTATCAGTGATGAGTGGAGGAGTCACAGTGATGGTGGTGTGGTCGGGATATCTCTGGAAAGAGGAGTCGAGTGGAAGACAGACAGAAACTCTGTACCCTTGGAAGAAAGAAAAATATTCATTGGGAACACCTGAAATGAAGTAGAGCTGTTGTAGTGAGGGCAGTGTAGAAGATGCAGAGCACATCAATGATTGTGTCCAAACTTCCCCCACATCTGACTGTAACACAATGAGAAAATTCAAAATTTAAGGAAATCACTTACTGAATGTTCTGTTGCTGCAGGGTAGGGTCATTCATGCCTTGAACGACCAATTCCCAAGAATAGAGGGAGTAAAATCCAGCAATGACCACATCTCCCCTGCTGCATGCCACAGATTTCTCTGTGCAAATGCGTCTGCCATCTTCAGAGAAAGTGATCAGGAGAGGATGCTGGAGGAGAAGCTGTGTCAGAGCCACAGGGAACATTGCTGCTGCTTTGACATGGAGCTGTGATTCTGGATGCAGACTGTGCCTGCAGCGTCAGGTGGGTGTCTAAATTGGTCTTCAGTTTTTGTGGCTTCTTGGTGCCTGGATGGCCTCTATTGTCCTAGAGGAATACAGAGCCCATTCTGCCCTCTGGCTCTGCATCTGGGGCCCAGCTTCAAGGTCAAAACAGAAGTTAGAAAACATGTGTACAATCTTACCTCTCCACATCCTCAGGACCATGATTTCATCCAAGACTGTAGATAATGAAACTCCAGGGATGGATTCCTCTCTTGTTGAGTTGTTCACAAACTTGTGTGAAAGCAAAAAGTTGAACAGAAAAAAGTACAACCAATCAAGGGTCACTAGGGATGATGGGAATGGATGACAGGAGTGGATGCCATGTGAAGGTCAAATGATCAATGAGCGCCATGGCCAGCAATGGCCCAGTCAGAGTTATTGGAGCACCATCAAAGATGAGGATGGGCAGCCTCACAACCAAGGGAAAAGGGAGAGGTTTGTGAAGTGACCCATTCAGGTTTTTATACCAACTGCACATGCACAAGAATCCAGAATAGCTGAATGTATTTATGTACTGCTGCAGGTGTTACCAACAGAGTCCTGGAATTCTATCATTACAGATCAATACTTCAAGGTCAATTCACTTAACCAATTACATATTTGCATTCTGAATCTTGACCTTCTTCAGTGTTTGCATGTTGTTGACCATCAGACTGCATCTATCAATATATTGGCAGTCCATTGTTAGACAGAGATGTTCTATGATCTCTGACTTTCTGGGAACATAGCAGGACTACACACTGAGGATCCTGGTAGCTGTGGGTGCATGGTTGGGTCTTGCCCTGCTGTGTCCACATCATGTCCTGAGTGCTCCGGGAATTCTTGTTACCAGTTGGACAGCTGCGTGGTGCCAGCTCTGTCCATGTTTCCCTACCAGTCTTCTCTATTAGTTCCTCATACTAGAAGTGAAACCAAGGTCACAGCATAGGGTCCTGCTCTGCCCAGAGTTCACCATGGTGGCTGGTTTGGTGAACTGTCTGCAGATATGTATGAGGAAGGGCTTGGGAAATATAAGTTGGAAAAGTGAGGATGCAAATACTATTTGATGATGGTAGCCAGCAAGACTTTGCAAAACCATCAGTGCTGGGGCCTAGCCTGACTTGGGTTCTGAGGTAGAAATCTTTGTTGCTTCTATACACAGGATTATCGGTATGAGCCACCTGTGGCTGGCTCAGAGGACAAACTTTTATCCCATTCTCCTCATCTATTACTTTAACTATTTCTGTTCAGTCTGCTCAAGAGAACAGGGCCTCCCCACTTCCTCTTCACTTGCCTGAAACCAGTAGTCACCTGTCAATCACCTGACTGGGAGTCAGCAAAGGACCCCACAATCTGAGGTCACTTCCTCATCCATGGAAGTCACTTCCTGGACCATCCTGGTCACACCTCTGTAGGACAGTGATAAGTTCCCCAGACTCTGTGGTCACTTCCACATCCGCTGTGGTCCCCTTCTCTCTCTTTTTATTTTCTTCTTTTTCCTTTTCCTCTGTCTTCTCCAGGGGCCTCCATCTCCTGAGGGTGGCCACTTTGCCTTTTCTGCCTGAACCATGTATCAGGTTTCCTTGCTGGAGAAGCTAACAATTTCTACTTCATTGTCATTGATATCTACTCTAGTACTCTATGCCTTCTTCTCCCTACATTTCAAAAATAAGAGAAAACTTGGGGATCTGTGTTGCCTCTATCTATCTGAGTGCTTTCTTTCTGTATGTCTGTTTGTTTGTCTGTGTGTATTGTAAATGTGTTGTACAGAGGAGTTACCATTATGTAAATCAGGTATTGTGTACATTTCTGTTTTTACAATGTTACCCAGTTTTTCCCTCCATGTCCCACCCACAGGTTGTATGCTTCATTTTTCACACAGTGTCCAGTATATACCAATGCTGCATTTGTCAGGTGATTAACTGAACACGATGTTCTCCACTTCCTTCCATATTCCTGACTCAAACATATAATTGCATGCTCAAGTCTCCTTGTGTCTGTGTGACTCAATTTACTTTTTCCATTCATGTGTTGATTGGAATGGAGCCTGATTCTGCAACTCAGCTTCTAAGTAGTGTCATGATAAACACTCACCATATGTAAACACAGACATAACAAACACCAACATTTGTGTGTGTGTGTAATATTCATGTAATATTATATCTTTTGTCATATTATGTTACCAATGGTGTTATAATATTCCTTTTGGCCGTATCCCCATTAGAGTCTGTTATTATTAATTTCCTTGAAAATTAATCAACTTATTTATTGCCAATTATTTTTATAATAAGCTCTATTTTATGAAACTCAAGATGTACTCATCTGCTACTTACTTGAAAATTTTGTGGGTATAAAAATTGAAGACGGGGGGTTGGGAAGGTGGCTCAGTGGTAGAGCGCTTGCCTTGCATGCCTGAGGCCCTGGGTTCAATTCCTCAGCACCATATAAGCAAAAAGAAAAAAGCCGGAAGTGGCGCTGTGGGTAAAGTGGTAGAGCGCTAACCTTGAGCTGAAGAGCTGAGGGACAGCGCCCATGCCCAGAGTTCAGGCCCCATAACCGGACCCAAAAAAAAAAAAATTGAAGACGGGAAGTGGTGCTGTGACTGAAGTGATAGAGTGCTAGCCTTGAGCTGAAGAGCTGAGGGACAGTGCCCAGGCCCAGAGTTCAAGCCCCACAACCCACCAAAAAAAAATTGAAGACGTTTTGCTTCTGAAATCATTTTTTATTCAAATGAAACCAATTGATTTCATCAATTCCCTTTCTCAAGACTTTCATTTACCAACTTCCCTTGGTCATGGGACTTGAACTCTGGGTCTAGGTGCTGTCCCTCAGTTTTCAGCTCAAGGAGAATGCTCTACCGCTTGAGCCACAGCACCGCTTTTGGTTTTCTGGTGGTTAATTGGAGATAAGAGTCCTAAGGAGTTTCCTGCCTGGGCTGGCTTTGAACCCTGATCCTCAGATCTCAACCTCCTGAGTAGCTAGGATTACAGGTGTGAATCACTGGCACCTGGATTCCTTACTGAGTTTTAAAAAATTACATGTTTAATTAACTCTTTGAAAACATTTGATCTCAAAATGACATTTTTAAAGATGTGAAGTAGTAATCCTTAGACAAACTGGTTGTAAATTGATATTTCCCATTTGGTTTGAAACAGGGAGAACAGGAGAATCACATGTAGACTGACATTGCATGAAGAGTCCAAACTTAACAAACTTGAGGGATCTCAGACCATGTCTTGGTGTTTTCAAAATGCAGCTGATTGCATCACTTTACATATCACTCTTGTAACTTTCTTCAGGAAATGTTTGAAGGAAAGCAACTTTTAGTTAAAAACGCTCATATATTGGCCTTTTGGTGTGTAAAGAATTGAGCAATAAGAAGAAGAAGAAGAAAAAGAAAAGTTTTGAGCAATAGCTGGGAGCCAGTGGCTCCAACCTATAATCCTAGCTACTCAGGAGTCTGAGAATTGAGGATCAGGGTTCAAAGACCGCCAGGACAAAAAACTCCATGAGATTCTTATCTCCAATAAACCACTCAGAAAACTAGGAGGGGTACTATGCCTCAAGTAGTAGATTGCTTGCCTTGAGCTGAAAAACCGAGGGGTAGAGCCTAGGCTCAGAAGTCAAGCCCTATGACAGACAAAAAAGAATCCAGTAACATAAATTACGTTTTATATTGAAGTAAATATCTAACCAAAGCCAGGAAAATTTAAACGTAATTTCTGCTTTTTTTCTTTGTCCCTTAAAGGAAACCACAATGGGAAAAATATGTATGTAGAGCAAACTGCACGTTATCTATCTGACCTATATCTATAAGAAAGTAGAAAATCTGAACACACACTGCACGATTGTTTTATTAAAGGAATCCTGGGGGGGTGGGGAAAGAAGGCAAATATGAGTTTGGATGAGTTAATATTGGCAAGAAGTGGCAAAATAAGAGAAGTAAAATAAGAAAACCATCAAACTCAAGGCAATATTCTTAGCTTTGGATGGTCTCAAAGCCAGTTAGAAAATTTCTACCTTCTATCCCTTTGGCTGGTGGAAGCTACCAGTCCATTGCCAGATCCTCCTGGGAACATACGCAGAGACTTCCGGATCACAGTACCCAGTCTGGTTGGTCCATGAGTCGTTCACCATCTGTTAGTGCAGGAGTGCAGCTTCTGCCTCTGGGAGCTTCCAGATCCACCCCTATCAGGCCAACCAACCTATGGTCCAGACCTCACCAGGTGCATCAAGCGGTCCCCAGACATGACAAGCAGCATGTCTGAGCTGCTTAGCCCCTGCACATAGTTTGACGCCTCTGGGGAAGATGGGGCTCAGGGTCCTGCTCTGGAAGGGGAAGGATACTCCCAGCATGCCCTGGGGCGTGGGACAGTGAGCATCATAGGAAGGAGACCTGGGCCTTGAGCATGAGGTGCTGCATGTGGCTAGGGCTTTGCCCGTGTCTGAGGGTTTGTTCAGCAACACCAACTCGGGGCCGATCCTGAGCAGCAGGTCCAGGGAGCACGGGTGGGATCTGAGGATTGTAGTTCAGTGCCAGCCAGGCAGGAAAGTCTCTGTAACTCTTATCTCCAAATAATCACCAAAAAACCAGAATTGGTGCTATGGCTTAAGTAGCAGAGCACTCTCCTTGAGCTGAAGAGCTCAGGGACAGCAAGCACCCAGGCCCAGAGTTCAAGTCCCGAGACTGACAAAAAATAACAGCATCAACGATATTATTCAGAACTTCCTATTTTTGCCAAGCTATGATCCCTGTCTTCTGTGTTGTTCTTTTTATTTCATATGGTTCATCTTTCTGTACTTCACAGTGAATTTCCCTCTTGGTCATCTAAAGAAATGAAAATGAGCTGACGTTATTATTGTTTTTTTTTTGTGTGTGTGTGTGCTGGTTCTAATAGTTGAAGCCAGGGTCTGAGTGTTGTTTCTGAGCACTGTTTTTGTGT